TAACAGGACTTAAGAAACAAAGAACTGCTCATCTGGTCGAACCACTACTAAATATCCTCATGCTGCTGATCACATGTACGGTGTATAACATGTAAACACCGCTATATGTTATAGACTGTGATAGACAATTTGCTCCAGGAAAGTTAGAATGAACTTGTGACTTTAACTGAGCATCATTATTCCACAATACTGTGAAATTCGGGAAATTATATAATCACTTAATCACAATCAAAAAAAAAAAAAAAAAGAACCTCAGGGAAGGTAGGGAGGGAGGGGATGGTAGGGGGAAAACAATGGAGGGGGGGTAACAATGTTCAATAGGAAGTGTACTCATTACCTCACTCATGTAACTGTAACCCTCTGTATAGTATCTTTACAATTAAAAAAAAAAATCACCAGATGCTACATTTAAAAAAAAAAAAAGACTTGGTGCTGTGGCTCAAGTGGTAGAGCTTCGCCTTGAGCTGAAGAGCCCAGGAACAGCACCCAAGCTCAGAGTTTAAAAAAAAAAAAAATCCCATTCACAATGAGATAAAGGATCTAGCCATTCCAAATTTCACAAAGATTAAGATTACTACATATAAAGACACTCAGCAGCTGGAGGCCAGTGGCTCATGCCTGTAATCCTAGCAATCCTAGCTACTCAGGAGGCTGAAATCTGAGGATCCTGGTTGAAAGCCAGCCTGGCAGGAAAGTCCAAGACTCTTATCTCCAATAAACCACTAGAAAACCGCAAGTGGCCCTGTGGCTCAAGCGGTAGAGCACTCGCCTTGACGTGAATTGTGCAAGGACAGCACCTAGGCCCAGAGTTCAAGCGCCACGACTGACCAAAAAAAAGAAAAAAAAGTAAGAGGTTGCTCCGTGGTAGATCGCTTGCCTTGCATGCATGCGGCCCTGGGTTCGATTCCTCAGCACCACATAAGCAAAAAGAAAAAAAGCCAGAAGTGGCGCTGTGGTTCAAGTGGTAGAGCGCTAGCCTTGAGCTGAAGAGCTGAGGGACAGCGCGAGTCCCAGAGTTCAGGCCCCACGACCGGACCCAAAAAAAAAAAAGAAACTCAGCAGAGCAGGGATGGTTCATGCCTGTAATCCTAGCTACACAAAAGGCTAAGATCTGAGACTTGCAGTTCAAAACCAGCCCCAACAGCAAAGTCTGAGACTCTTTAACTACCAAAAAGCCAAAAATTGAGCTGGGCTTAAAGTAGTAGAGCACTAATCTGAGCATAAAAGTTCAGAGACAGTACCCACACCCTCAGTTCAAGCCCTAGGATTGGCACAAAAAAAAAGTGAGCTGGGAAGGTAGCTCAGTGGTAGAGTGCTTGCCTAGCATACATGAAATCTTGGGTTCAATTCCTGAGTACCACATAAACAGAAAAGCAGGAAGAAGTGTTGTGGCTCAAGTGGTAGAGCATTAGCATTGAGCAAAAGGTTAAGGACAATGCCCAGGCCCCGAGTTCAAGCCCCAGGCCTGGCAAAAAAAAAGCAAAAATAAATAACAAAAATAAATAACAAGAGTGACTTCAGCAAAAATAAATAACAAGAGTGACTGAGCCGAGCACCAGTGGCTCACAGCTATAGCCCTACCTACTCAAGAGGCTGAGATATTAGGATTAAAGTTTAAAGCCAACCCAGCCAGGCACCGGTTGCTCACACCTGTAATCCTAGCTACTCAGGAGGCTGAGATCTGAGGATCATAGTTCAAAGCCAGCCACAGCAGAAAAGTCCATGAGACTCTCATCTCCAATTAACCACCAGAAAACCAGAAGTGGCTCTGTGGCTCAAGTGGTAAAGCACTCACCTTGTCTCATTAACCACCAAAAAGCCAAAAGAAGACCTGGCTTCAGCAAAAAAGCTTGGGACAGCACCCAGATTCTTGAGTTCAAGCCTCAGGACAGGTACAAAAAATATATATATAAGCCAGGCACCGGTGGCTCACGCCTGTAATTCTAGCTACTCAGGAGGCTGAGATCTGAGGATCACGATTCAAAGCCAGCCTGGGCAGAAAGTCTGTGAGACTCTTATCTCCAATAAACCACTAGAAAACCAGAAGTGGCACTGTGGCTCAAGTGGTAGAGCACTCGCCTTGAGCTGAAGAGTGCAGGGACACAGCCCAAGCCCAGAGTTCAAGTCCCATGACTGACCAAAAAATATATATGTATATCGATAGATAGATAAGATAGATTTTTTTTTTAAGGCTGGGAATGTGGTTTAGTGGTAAGAGTGCTTGCCTAGCATGCATGAAGCCCTGGGTTCAATTCCTCAGTACCACATAAACAGAAAAAGCCAGAAGTGATGCTCAAGTGGTAGAGCGCTAGCCTTGAGCAAAAGAAGCTCAGGGACAGTGGCCAGGCCCTGAGTTCAAGCCCCAAGACTGGCAAAAGTAAATAAACAGGAGTAACTTAGTGTGATGACACTGACCTGTAATCCCAACTAGTCAGGAGGATCACCAGTTCAAAGCTAGCCTAAGCTTAGCGAGAGTCTAAATAAATAACTTTATTTCTACTTATTCATTTAATGCTTATGACAACTTGCAAAGCAAATACAACAACTCAGAAAATGGAAGCTCAAAGAGGTTGAGTAATTTAGTCAAGGTCACACAGCTAATAGATGGTGTGCCCGGACTTGGTTCCTAGTCTCCACCACTTCACTCTGACTGACACGATTTCGGAGAATCCAGAATAATACCATGTCCTATCAGCATGTGTACAAATACATTAACATTTACCTCTTCGAAAACAGCACTGGAAAAATCCCCACATCGCACAGTGCCGTCATAGCTCAGGGACAGGATGTGGGCTGGATTGGCGGGTGAGAAGTACATGCAGCTTACGTGCCGACTGTGGGGATAAAAACGGAACATCCCACCTTCTTCACATCGCTGGGTCTGGAAAAGTCGCAGTGGAGGGAAAGACAACACTAATGAGCAGTGATCATACTTAGTGTTGTTATGACATTGTTCGCCTCTGGATTGTATCCCGTACTTCCTGAGTCTCTAACTATACCCACTCTCTCAATCGGAACAAGGAAGCTTATCCTAACATTACATTATATTTTTCTCATTTCCAGTCTAAGAACACCAAGTTACGTTAATTTCACAAATCTAGCTTTTGGCAAATAGTAAAACAAGTAAAAAAAAAAATTGCTGCTTCTATTCCAATTGCTCAGGAGGAGGCTAAGGCAGGAAGACTGTGTGAGTCCAGAGATCTGAGGCCAGTCTGGGCTTCAAAGCAAAATCCTGTCCACAAAAATAATAAAGAGGGGCTAGGAAGGTGGCTCAGTGGTAGAGCGCTTGCCTTGCATGCCTGAGGCCCTGGGTTCCATTCCTCAGCACCACATAAGCAAAAAGAAAAAGCTGGAAGTGGCGCTGTGGCTCAAGTGGTAGAGCGCTAGCTTTGAGCTGAAGAACTGAGGGACAGCACCAGGCCCAGAGTTCAGGTCCCACAACCGGAAAAAAATAATAATAATAATAATAATAATAATAAAGAATAGTCTGCCGGGCACCGGTGGCTCACACCTGTAATCCTAGCTACTCAGGAGGCTGAGATCTGAGGATTGCAGTTCAAAGCCAGCCCAGGCAAGAAAATTTATGAGACTCTTATCTCCAATTAACCACCAGAAAACTGGAAATGGCGCTGTGACTCAAGTGGTAGAGCGCTCACCTTGAGCTGAAGAGCTGAGGGACAGCACCAGGCCCAGAGTTCAAGACCCACGACCAACAGAAAAAAAAAAGAATAGGAAGTGGCGCTGTAGCTCAAGTGGTAGAGCACTCGCCTTGAGCTGAAGAGCTCAGGGACAGTGCCCAGGCCCAGAGTTCAAGCCCCACGACCAACCAAAAAAAAAAAGAATAGTGGATGAATATAGTCACAATATTCAGTATATTTATTTGAAACAAGAAGCAAAAATGAAGGGCAGGGAATGTGGCTTAGTGGCTGAGTGCTTGTATAGCATGCATGAAGCCTTGGGTTCGATTCCTCAGCACCACATATACAGAAAAAGCCAGAAGTAGAGCTGTGGCTCAAGGGGTAGAGGGTTAGCCTTGAGCAAAAAGAAGCTCAAGGACAGTGCCCAGGTCCTGAGTTCAAGCCCCAGGACTGGCCAAATATGTGTGTGTGTATTTGTATATTTATATATATCTTTATGTAGCTGTACAAAGAAGTCACCATTAAACATGTTAGTTTTTAAGTACAATTGGATCTTCATTAAACATCCCTTCTGTCATTCTCAAGGCTAACTTTTTCAAAATTGATTTCATTGTTATTATTAAGGTGATGTATAGAGGGGTTACTGTCTCAGTCAGGTGATGAGTACATTTTAGGGGGACAATGTCACCCTTACTCAAAGTTAACTTTAAAAAAAAAAAAAAGCCAGGTGCTAGTGGCTCACACCTGTAATCCTAGCTACTCAAAAGGCTAGCAGCTGAGGACTGCTATTTGTGAGATCCTGAAAAGCTGAGCTATGAGACCCAAAAGGATGGGATCTTGGAAGGCCTTCTCCCAACATACTCTAACACTGAAAGTCTCCTGAAAAGGTCAATCTGTCTGGCTTAAAAAGTATTCAGATTTCTCTCCTGGGCATGGGCTAATTCCATCCTAAATTGTGTGGGAGCCCAGGAGCAGCCTAAGGTTTATGAAAATTGTAAGCAGTTTACAGCTTAGCTCTAGTTCTTATGATGATGAAGTCATCTACCACTTGTATACAAAATATTGTCTCTTGTTGATGCTCAGACCTTACTTTCTGCCTATACAAAACCAATAAAACCTTGGTGAATGGAACCTTGGGATCTGAAGCTAGCAGAAGGCTACAGGTCCCCGGGTACCCAAAACCTCAATTCCAGGGTCCAGTCTCCGTTACTGCCTTGCTTTCCGGTCGTGGTAGGTTAAGGGGCACATGGTGGTTTGCACCAGCAGTTCAAAGCCAACCTGGGCAAGAACTTTGGTGAGACTCTTGAATCTCCAATAAACCACCAGAAAACCACAAGTGGAGCTGTGGCTCCAAGTGAAAAAGCTCAGGAACAGCACTCAGGCCTTGAGTTCAAGTCCCAGGACTGGCAAAAAAAAAAAAAAGAATCCTGAGGATATATGTCTGCTCAGGCTGGCTTTGAACTAGATCCTCAGATCTCAGCCTCCTGAACAGCTAGAATTATAAGTTGAAAGGCCAGGTAAATCTTAGTTTTTATTCTCTCTGTCTCTCCTCACTTGCAGAGAGAGAGAGAGAGAGAAAGAGTGTGTGTGTGTGTCACTCCTTAGGCTTGAACTCAAGGTCTGGATGCTATCCCTAAGCTTTTTGCTCAAGTCTGGTGCTCTATACTTAAGCCACAGCTCCACTTTCAGCTTTTTTAACTTAAGAGTCTTACAGACTTCCCTGCCTGTGCTGGTTTTAAACTGTGATCCTCGGATTTCAGCCTCCAAAGTAGCTAGGATTAGGTGCCCAATTGCAAAATTACTTTATTAAGCCCAACTAGTTCAAGTCACCTTTCTTTGTTCATTTCCAATACTTGTTCATGCCTTTGTTCTATTTCCCCAACTTCAAAGCAAACTGTTAACATTGTAACCACTGAAAGCACTTACTAAGAACTATAGGTACAATGAACGGAATTAGCTACCTGTCTTTGGGTCAACAACTGGTAACATCCTAAGCAGATCCCAAAATATTTTTTTCCCACCCAAAATTATTATTTTGATCCAAGACCAGGACTTGAACAGATGCTTTGGCTCATTGGCTGGTACTCTACCAACTGAGTCATACCTCCAAGCTGGAGAGAAAAAAACAATTTTTGTCAGTTGTGGGACTTGAATGCAGGACCTGGGCGCTAGCCTTGAGCTTTTCTGCTCAAGCCACAGCTCCACTTGAAGTTTTCCAATGGTTAATTGGAAATGAGTCTCACAGACTTTCTTACCTAGGCTGGCTTTGAACCACAATCCTTAGCTCTCAGCTTCCTGAGTAGCTAGGATGACAGTTGTGAGCCACCAGCACCCTGCCAGAGAAAATTAATTTGATCCAGCTTGGAAACTATGTCTTAGCATATGAGCTGCTATTAAATAAAAATGTATCTATTAAATAAACTGGGAGACTCACAAACAGCAAGAATTTATTTCCTAGTTCTGAGACAAGGCCATCCAAGATTAAGGTGCTAGCTAATTCAGTGACTAGTACGGGACCACTCTGGGTTATAGATGGTGCCTTCTATCTGAGCCCTCACATGGCAAAAGGAGAGGGACATCTTTCCTGAGCTCCTTTCAGGGCTAACTACCTCCAAAAGGCCCCACACCTCCTATGAATTTGAAAAGGGATACAACATTCAGATCATGGCACAGCGGATTTTAAACATAATTTTAACACTAATGACTTTATGTGGTCTTTCTCACTTATACATTTAAAATCTGGTAGTTAATTTATGCCCAGATGGCTAATGATATTCTAGATAAAAATGTTAAAGCTCTATAAATCAAATTTAAATTCCTCCAGAATTCAAAATTTTAATATCAGACAAGCGCTGGTAGCCCATACCTGTAACCCTAGCTATTCAGGAGGCTGAGATCTGAGGATCACGGTTCGAAATCACCCCAGACAGGAAAATCCATGAGACTCTTACCTCCAATTAACTACCAAAAAGCCAGAAACAGAGCTGTTCAGGTGGTAGAGTACTAGCGTTGAGCAAACAAAAAGCTCAGGGACAGTACCCAGGTCCTACATTCAAGCCCCAGGACTAGCACCAAAAACCAAAAGCACAAAAACAAGTTTCAAGCAACACTGAAAATAAATGTCTCTAGGCTATTCACAACCATGTTCATTGCAGCACTATTCACAATAGCCAAGCTATCAATACAACCAAAATACCTACAAGTGATGAAAGGATCAAGGTGATAGATATCTCACATGAAATATTATGCAGCTATAAAGAATAAAACCATGTTATTTGCAAGGAAATAGGTGAACTGAGAAATGTTCTTTCTTATATGCAGGCTGTTGGGTCCAAAATACAAACACGTAAACATATTGAATCCTATGTATATGTGTGTGTGTGGGCACACGCACTCTCAGGTATGAGGTATCATGGCAAAAATCACTTCAGCAGGCAGTGTAGCAAAAGGAACATTAGAAAAATGAAATATGTCTGGATTGGGGTGCAAGTAGTAGTGGGAGGGGGAAAGATGGCAAATATAAATAATAATTATGTACACGTTTGAAATGAAACAATGAAACTAGATGAGACTCATTTGGGGAAGGGTGAAAAGAAGGGATAAGTATGGATAGGGTGACTGATCAAGAAGCATTGTAGCTGCTGGGCACTGGTGGCTCACACCTGTAATCCTAGCTACTCAAGGGGGCTAAGACCTGAGGATCGCTGTTCAAAACCAGCCCAGGCAGGAAAGTCTGTGAGACACATCTCCAATTAAGCACCAAAAAAGCCAGAAATGAGGCTGTGGCTGAAGTGGTAGAATGCTAGCCTTGAACACAAAAGTTCAGGGACAGTGCCCAGGCCCTGAGTTCAAGCCCCAGGACCAATATACTAACACAGCAGTACATGCATGCGTGCACACATGCACACTGGCGCATGTGTATGCAGACACACACACAGACACACAGACACACAGACACACACACAGAACTTGCATCTGTGGCTCATACCTATAATCCTAGCTACTCAGAAGGCTGAGATCTGAGAATCATTTAGCAAAGAAAATCAAGTTTCAAAGACACTCTGGGCAGAGAAATCCAAGACACTTATACTTCCAATTAACCAACAAAAAGCCAGAACTGAAGGTATAGTTCAAATAGTAGAAAGCCAGCCATGAGTAAAAAAGTGGAGTCCTGAGTTCCAGCCTCAGTACCAGCACGCACACAAAAAAGCATTGTACACTGTACCCATGAATAGACATGTTAAAATGTACACTCTTATATGACTAATTGATGCTTCTGAAAAAGAAAAAGCTTATAATTTCTTTATTTTTTTACTTTTTATTTATTGATTTTTTTGCCAGTCATGGGGCTTGAACTCAGGGTCTGGGCACCCTGAGCTCCTTTTGCTCAAGACAAGTACTCTACCACTTGAGCCACGCACCAATTCCAGCTTTTTCTGTCATTAATTGAATATAAGAATCTCATGGATTTTCCTGCCTGCGCAGGCTTTGAACGGTGATCCTCAGATCTCAGCCTCCTGAGTATCCAGACATGAGCCACCAGCACCTGACTATGAAGTTTTTACAATCTTTTTTATAAGCAAACTTTAGTATCTTCAGAATATAACTTACCAAATCCCAAATTCCAATCTGCCCAGTTCTGGCCCCAGCTGCTACTAAAATTCTTGTTTCTGATGGGTGCACAGCCACAGAGAATATGGACCCATCAACAAGTTTACGAACTGTACCTTCTCTGATGACCATGCTGTTTAAATTGGCTTTGTAGCTGTAACAATAAAGTTAAAATTATCTAAGTAAAAAGGAACTCAATTATTAAAAATCAGTAAAATATAACTCAAAAAAGAAAAATCATAATTAATAAATGAATGGAAAATACTCAACTTCCTGATAAGGAAATCAAACTCCACAGTGATATACTAGTTTTCTATTATAAAATTACCTTTGATCATTTTAGCAATATCAAAAACTAGGAGACCCCACAATCGACAAAAATATAAACAAAATAATCAGCAAAATGCCAGGCACCATGGACCCATACCTACTCAGGAAACTGAGATCTGAACAATTGTGGTTTGAAGCCAGAATGAACAGAAAGCTCTGAAAAATTCCATCTCCAATTAGCCAGCAAAAGACTGAGCTATAGCCAAGCACCAGTGGCTTACGCCTGTAATCCTAGCTACTAAGGAGGCTGAGATCTGAGGATCATGGTTCAAAGCCAGCCCGGCAAGAAAGTCCATGAGACTCTTATCTCCAGTAAACCACTCAGAAAACTGGAAGTGGCATTATGGCTCAAGTGGTAGAGTACTTGCCTTGAGCTAAAGAGCTGAGGGACAGCAACCAGGCCCATAGTTCAAGCCCCACGACTGACAAAAAAAAAGCAGAGCTGTAAGCCTGGTTCAAATAGTAAAGTGCCAACTGTGCACAAGCAAGCAAGGCCAATATTAGTCCTCTGAGTTCAAGTCCTAATACTGGCAAAAATAAGCAAGTAAACAAGTAAATACAAAATAACCAACAAAGAGCCAGGCTGAAAGCATAGCTCAAAGGTTAGAACACCAAACAAGCAAGCAAAGTTGAGTGAGGCCCTTAGTTTAAACCCAAGTACTGGCCAAAAAAACCACAAGTCCCTGTCCTTATAAAACTTGTATCCGCCGGGCGCTGGTGGCTCACGCCTGTAATCCTAGCTACTCAGGAGGCTGAGATCTGAGGATCCCGGTTCAAAGCCAGCCCAGGCAGGAGAGACCGTGAGACTCCTATCTCCAATAAACCACCAGAAAACCGGAAGTGGCCCTGTAGCTCAAGTGGTAGAGTGCTCGCCTTGAGCTGAAGAGCTGAGGGACAACGCCCAAGCCCAGAGTTCAAGCCCCACGACGGACAAAAAAAAAAAAACTTGTATCCTAGGAAGTGGTGCTGTGGTTCAAGTGGTAGAATGCTCATCTTGAGCTGAAGAGGTCAGGGACAGTACCCAGGCCGAGTTCAAGCCCCGCAACCAACAAAAAAAAAAAAGAACTATTAAGGATATGAGGCTGTGAATGTAGCTTAGTGGTATATTGCTTGCCTTGCAGCCTAGCATATATGAAGCCCTGGGTTCAATTCCTCAGTACCACATAAACATAAAAAGCTGGAAGTGGCACTGTGGCTCAAGTGGTAGATTGCTAGCCTTGAGCACATGGAGGCTCAGTGACAATACCCAGGCCCTGAGTTCAAGCCCCAGGACTGGCAAAAAAAGAAAAAAATATCAAGGATAATGTTTTTCATTACGCTTTCAAATTTTTCTATTATAACCAAAACTAGAGTAGTGACTCAGGTGGCAAGCACCAGCCAGGAGTGAAAAGCCCAGGATTCCCGCCCTAGTACTGGCACATACACACACAAAAATTCTACTTTAGGATGTAGTTTTTACAACTCAAACGTCTCTAAAACTATAAAATAAAAGCAAGGGGTTTTAACTTACCTTTTAATGCTAGATAAGCCCTTCTGATAGCTCTTACTACATGTCTAAAACAAGGGGAGACACCAAAACGGTAAGTTAACAAATATATTTGGAAATTTCCTTAACAGAGGCTTCCAAAAGCAGTAAAGCATACCCAAGGAGATACCTTGCTCATTTCTGCCCAGGTCTGCAGCAACCCTTTAAACAGTTGATTGTCATCTTCATTTTCAGGAATCATATCTAAAGGTCCAGGAGGTAACAAAGGCTGTAATCAAAAATAAAGTTTATTGTTTGTCTCCTAGAAAATAAGCTTCACGTGAGTAAAGGTATTTGTTTTTTACTACTTTACTTTCAATGCTAACAACTGGAATACTGTCGGTACTAAGAAATAATTGTTCAATGGCCCACACCTGTAATCCTAGCTACTCAGGAGGTTAACATGTGGGGACAGTAGTTCAAAGGCAGCTTGAGCAGGAAAAGTCCATGAGACTCCTATCTTCAATTAACTACCAAAAAGCCAGAAATGGAGCTGTGGCTCCAAGTGGCAGAGCACTAGCCTGGAGCACAAAAGCTTAGGGCCGTGCCCAGGCTCCAATTTCAAGCCCCATGACCAGCACAAAAAAATAATAATTGTTCAATAAATGAAAGTCAACCAAAAAAAAAAAATTAGCAGACCTTGTTAAGATGCAAAGAAAGAAGAGCACTTTTGTTGAACATATGCATTAGGTCAGCCCTTATGGCAAACGATATGGGGTTTCCTCCAAAAATAAGAAATTTAACTTTTTCTTACAGTACTGAGGTTTGGACTCAGGGTCTTACATTTGTAAGACACTTGTTCTACCACTTGAGCCATTCTGCCAGGCCAATTTTGCCTTGTAGACCAATGAGTTACTAGAGCTGAAAAGGGTATATAGAAAAAGGTAAGAGCCGGGCGCTGGTGGCTCACGCCTGTAATCCTAGCTACTCAGGAGGCTGAGATCTGAGGATCGCGGTTCAAAGCCAGCCCGGGCAGGAGAGACTGTGAGACTCCTATCTCCAATAAACCACCAGAAAACCAGAAGTGGCGTTGTAGCTCAAGTGGTAGAGTGCTCGCCTTGAGCTGAAGAGCTGAAGGACAGCGCCCAGGCCCAGAGTTCAAGCCCCACGACCGACAAAAAAAAGAAAGAAAGAAAAAGGTAAGATGGAGAAATCATATCTGAAGTTCAGTAGCACAGTAGGAAAACTATGGCTGATGACAGCTATCTGTTTGTTTTTTTGCGGGGGGTAGGGGGTCCGGTTGTGGAGTCTGAACTCTGGGTCTGGGTGCTGTCCCTCAGCTCTTCAGCTCAAGGCTAGTGCTCTACCACTTGAGCCACAGCGCCACTTCCGGCTTTTTTCTTTTTGCTTATGTGGTACTGAGGAATTGAATCCAGGGCCTCTTGCAAGGCCTAAGGGGGCTGAGATCTGAAAGTCTGAGAGACTCTTATCTTCAATTAAATACCAACAAAAGTCAGAAGTAATTAATTCAAAGCCAGCCCTGGCAAGAAAATCTGTAAAACTCATCTCCGATTAACTACCAGAAAACCAGAGCTGTGATTCAAAGTGGTAGAGTGCCTGCCTTAAGCAGAAAGGGTCGGGGGGCAGCACCAGGCCCTGAGTTCAAGTCCTATGACCAAAAAAAAAAAAAAAAACAGGCATTGTTAGTGCACACTTATAATCCCAGCACTCCAAAAGCAGAAGCAAGAGACTGAGTTCAAGGCTAGCCTAAGCTGCAAAGTTAGTTCCAAGCCAGTTTGAGCAATATAGTAAGACTGTCTCCAAAAATACGGGGCTGGGAAGGTGGCTCAGTGGTAGGGCCCTGGGTTCGATTCCTAAGCACCATATAAGAAAAAAGAAAAAAGCCGGAAGTGGTGCTGTGGCTCAATGGTAGAGTGCTCGCCTTGAGCTGAAGAGCTGAAGGACAGCGCCCAGGCCCAGAGTTCAAGCCCCACGACCGACAAAAAAAAAAAAAAAAAAGAGAGAATATGAAGTCTCCTACTTACCGATAGTGTAAAATTAAACTATACCAAGGACTCTACTTTGATGACACATTATTGATAATAATCTATTATTTACTAAACATATCACATAAGGAACTATTTCATTTAATCTTCACTACAGCCCCTTAATGATTCTATTACTATTATTATTTTTATTTTTTAAATGGGGAAACTGAAACTCAGAAAGTTTAATTTATCTAAAACCTCACAAGAGGTAAGTCCTACAGAAGCACAGAATCCAAGCCTGTCTCTATGACTTTGAAATCCTACTAAACCATACAGCATTCAAATGTTAAGTTAATAAAACATAAAGCCAGGTGCCAGTGGCTCAGGCCTGTAATCCTAGAAGGCTAAGATCAAGAGAACTTCAATTTGAAGCCAGCCTAGGCATTTCCAAAATAACCAGCAAAAGAAAGGATAGAGGTGTGATTCAAATGGTAGAATACCAACCAAGCAAGATAACCAACCAAGTGTGAGGCTGAGTTCAAACCCAAAACCACCAAAAATAAAAATGTAAATAAAACAACTGAAATAAGAACATTTAGTCTCAGCTGGGCACCAGTGGCTCATGCTTATAATCCTAGCTACTTAGGAGTCTGAGATCTGAGGATCACAGTTTGAAGACAGCCCCGGGGGTAATTTCCAATTACCTACTCAAAAACTGGAAGCGGTACTGTGGCTCAAGTGGTAGAGCACTAGGCTTGAGCACAAACAGGCTCAAGGACAATGTCCAGGCCCTGAGTTCAAGCCTCACAACAACAACAACATTTAGTCTCATTTCAAATACTTTTCAATATTGTTAGTATATTACATTTGTGTTTTCCCTTAGATCTTTTTTTTTTTGGTTAGTCCTCTACCACTTGAACCACAGCACAACTGGGCTTTTTCAGTTCATGTGGTACTGGGGAATCAAACCCAGGGTTTCATGCAAGCTAGGCAAGCACTCTACCACTAAGCCACATTCCCAGCCCTCTTACATCTTCTTCTTCTTCTTCTTCTACTGTTGTCTTTACTGGAGGTGGTAAAAATGAAATTTCTGAAGGTTCTACTTTTAGCAATCGCATTGACCTTCTACATCCAATCTCATCTTCTCTCTTCTTAGGTTTTTTCCTAAAGGAACAGGAGGAAAAAAATCATGCTATACTCATAGAACAGTAAAATATATTTAGTATGATAACTTCTAGGAGATACTTCTAGAAAGAGGTGATACAGATATATCTAATATCATATATGACCACATCGATTTTGATAAAAAAAATCTGGAAAAACCCTAAATGAAAATGTTAAGCATGAAGAGTAAGGGATGTTAAGCCAATTATGGCATATTATCAAGTGGAATGGCATTCAGTCATAAAGAATGAAACATGGGCTGGGTGCCAGTGGCTCATATCTGTAATCTTAGCTTCTTAGGAGGCTGAGAGCTGAGGATCACAGTTCAAAACCAGGCCAGGCACGAAAGAGGAAGAGAAGAGAGGAAAAGAAGAGAGGAAGGGAGAGGGGAAAGGAAGGGAGAGGAATCACCAAAGAACATTTGAGTGCAAAGACATTGCAAGGGCAAAGAAAAGATTGTTAAAGGTAAATAGAGGCCTGGGAGATGGCTCAGCCTGTAATCCTAACTACTCAGCAGACTGAGATCTGAGAAGGCAACCTAGATCTGAGATCTGAAGGCAACCTAGGCAGGAAAGTCCATGAGACTCTTATCTCCAGCTCACCACCAAAAAGCCAGAAGTGGTGCTGAGGAGCAAGTAGAAAAGCCTTGAACAAGCGAAGGGGCAGTGCCCAGGCCCTGAATTCAAGCCCCAGGACCAGTGCAAAAAAATAAAGAATAATTTCTAGATAAAAGTAAGAAGAATTGAGTGGAAATAAAGACATTTTTCCATTAGCAGTAACAAATATAAAAAATAAAATTTTGGAGGCTGGGAAGGTGGCTAAGCAGTAGAGTGCTTGCTTCCCATGCAAGCCCTGGATTCCTCAGCATCACATAAACAGAAAAGGCTGGAAGTGGCACTGTGGCTCAAGTGGTAGAGCGCTAGCTTTGAGCTGAAGAGCTGAGGGACCAAAAAATAAAATTTTGGGGCCGAGCTACTCAGGAGGCTGAGATCTGAGAACAGTGGTTCAAAACCAGCCTGGCAGGAATGTCCATGAGACTCTTATCTCCAATTAACCACCAGAAAACCAGAAGTGGCTCAAGTGGTAGAGCACGGGCCTTTAGCTGAAGAACTGAGGGACAGCACCCAGGCCCAGAGTTCAAGCCCACAACCAACAAAAAAAAAATGTCTAGTCAAGTATCATGCATGATCTAGTCAATATAAAACAATCGCTTACCTTTTGCATTTAGGAGACTTTCTCTTAATCATTTCACGAAGCCTTGCAGCTGACTGAAAAGCACACAGAACACACAAACACATAAAAATGCTACCTTAAAACTTCATAGCTTTAACTTTTAAAAATATTAATTATCTGTTACTATTCCCAGGTCTATTCAGGAAATAAAAAACCTTTAAGATAGGACACCTGGGCCAGGCACTAGTAGCTCATACTTGTAATCATAGCTACTCAGGAGGCTGAGATCTGAGGATTGCAGTTTGAAATGAGCTGAGGCAGGAAAGTCTGTGATACTCTTTATCTCCAATTAATCACAGAAAAAGCTGGAAGTGGCACTGTGACTCAAATGGTAGAGCACTAGCCTTGAGCAAAAAACAGCTCAGGGACAGTGCCTAAACCCAGAGTTTGTTCCCAGGATTGGGGAATTGGGGGGAAAAAAAAAGAGGATATTTGTCTCTGGTAGTAGACATGAGATAAAATACACTAATAATGAAGGCAAGTATAAAACTCTCTAATAAAGTAGCATTTTGAATCAAGTTGTTAATGAGCCTATGTGACTAAATATAGTTATTTTAATCAAATACATTATTAGAGGGATGGCAAAAATGCTTGGAAACTGAACAACACATTGTTAAATACAACTGGGTCACAGAATAAAGGGAAAAATAATAAAGTTCCTGCAAACCAGTGAAAATGAAAGCACATCCTACCAGAACCTCCAATACAGCAAAAGCACTGTTGAGAGGAAAGTTCATAGCTCTAAGCACATATATAGAGGGCTGGGAAGGTGGCTCAGTGGTAGAGCACTTGCCTTGCATGCCAGAGGCCCTGGGTTCGATTCCTCAGCACCACATAAGCAAAAAGAAAAAA